ATTGATAAATCGCCTGTCACACACTTGCTGGCTCTCTTTTTAAGATAAATCGCAACCAATCTTTTTGAGCAGTGGCAATTTGTTTCAAGGGCTCCGCTACGGTGAAATAAACAGGTGACCTGCACGACCGTGGATTGGACATTGAGGAAACGAGTTTGGTAATGGGAACAGCAGTGCTGTGCAGATCAAGCTGCAGAAGGCAAGACTCTCCGAGGCATGCCCGCTTCATGTTTGCAAGTGAAGGCTGGTCGCAGCTTCTGGGCTCAGGGCTCGTATGGACAGGTCGACTGTGGTCACCTGGTGCCACAGGTTCGATTAGCAGTGTGCTGCTTAGTCTCTTAGCTCAGGGGCTGCAAACTCCTCCCGTTAGCTTCTCCGATCCTTGCCCCGTGTGCCTCGACTTCGAATCTGACATTCATCATCGATCGCTGCTCGTTGGCATTCTGATGGATTGTGCTTGGGGCCTCTCATCGATCTGCTGCACGCTGCTCGGGTGGCCTGGAGGCGGTCTTGCCAAAGGTGGCTGGCCAACATTGGGGGAAAAGGTCCTTTGGCTCTCTACCGAGTGCATGAGTGAGGTCGCCTTCCTTAGGCGAGAGTTGGACCTTTTGCGCGAAGAAGTTCGAGTCCTCAGGGCTCGGGTTGATGAGCTCGAGGATGAGAGATTTGTGCTTGTCGACGACCCAGCCCCTGCGGAAAAACCTTCCACCTCTTCCTGTACTTCCTCTGCGGCGGCCTCGAAGGACCTCCCCATTGACGTCCCGGAGGGCGATTCCACTACAGACTGAAGGGAGAGATTGCAAAGCAGATCGGAGTTTTCCTTCAGAAGGGCCTCCAGGGAATCACTGTCGTCTCGGGCAGGGCTCGGATTCCTTTGAAGAACCGCTTGTACCTCCTCGTGAAGGACAGGGAGGGGCGAGAGTACAGGGACCCTGTTCGGGTCTTCAGGTCTTGGCGCGGCATCCAGGGCTGGGTTGAGAAATCCGGCGACCTCGGAAATTCCGTGTTTGTGGGTGTGCCGTCAGAGTTCGAAGGGAAGATTGCGATTGAGGCAGCTGGGCTGAAGTGGCCCAGTGCCTTTGAGCCATGAGTGCTGATAGCAGTGAAGGAGAGGAAGTTGCCCTTGACGTCCGGGGCAATCTTCTGTTTAGAAACGGCAGGACGTATCCAGAGTACCGTGTTGGAGCCATCCCTTGTTCCGAAACAGGGGAACTCTCACAGATCATTGCGATTGCCGAGCTCGGGGGCAGGATCATTGCGGCTGTTCCCGGCGGGGTTTGGCATAAGAAGGTTCCGAAGAGGAAGCTGGGGAAGAACACTCTTGGAAAGGCCATTTTGGTCGACGTTGTGGGTGCCTTCCTTACTGATTTGACCGAGCCGGCTGTGGAGCTGGCTCTGCGATTATGGGTTGGGGTTCTGGCGATGGAAGAGGAGAACTCGGTGACTACTCGGCCGATGCCGCGATCACCCACGTCTTCGGAGACGGCATTTTTTTTTTCGGGGAAGCCCTTGTGAAGGTGGCGGACGACCAGTTCGCCTTCACCACGGCGGAGTCCGGCGGTGGCGGCGAGGGCATGTTCCGGAGGATAGTAAGAGTCACGGATGGACTGGGTCTTTGCGGTTTGCCCCAACAATCCCAAATATTCAGGTAAAAGTATGGGGGCCGTGTGTGTTGTATAGATTGTACAGCGAGAGGCTACTTTTTGTCGATTTCTGGCCTTGTACCAGACGTGGCGACTTGAAAAAAAAAAGCCCTAAGCTCACCTTAAAACCCCAACCCTAAGCCCCACCTTAATTGGGAAGAGCCTGAAGCCACGAAGCGGAATCGCTCACGACCGGTGGCTTTTCCTGTCAGTCACATAGCCAAACTGTAAGGCACAACGGATTTTTGCTGTTTTGTCGCGAACTTCGAAGAAGCGGCTTCTTTTTTGTGGGCAGCAAGGCATCGCAAGGAGCAGGCAGTGTTATCTTCGATTGCTTGTCTCATGTCATGTCGTGCTGGCTCCCAACTCCAAGACTCCAAGATTGGCAAGTGGCAGCTGCAAACAGTAGTCTTGATGTGTCAGTAGTTGCGTAGCAGGGCTTCGGTAAACCCAGGGGCAGTAGTGTTTAATCTTTGCAGCATAACACAGAACGCTTGAAGTGACGAAGCGGGCGAAGAACATTCCATTTTTAGGATGCAGTTCGGAGCTGCAGCAGTGACAATGGTTTTCGTCTGGCTGGCTGCGTATCCTTGCCCAGCTTTCAGACCGTACATTACATCGAGGGAAAGCGTCGTTTGTGTGTATTTCCAGATACAAGCTGGTTCCATGAGCGATTGGTGCGTGCAGGGCTTTCTGCAGAAGCGCTTACGGGCAAGAAGCACCGATCTTCGAACGGATTTTTCCTGAGGGCAGTTTGCAAAATCGAGCCAGGGAGGCATCATGCTGGTGTGATGACCTCTTGGACGGCAGAGGAGAGCCTTCAGCTGACGTACTATCGTCGGCCTTTGGATGCATACTCGGTATCTTTGGTTTCAGGCTCGTGCTGGGAAATCCAAGGATCTTCTGACAGGCAGCTTCCGCTGAACTTTCGGGAGTGCGCAAGGGGTGCCGGCGGGGTCGGCCCAGTGTCTTTGAAGCATGCCATGTTCGATCTGCGTCCAGAAGACAGAGAAGGCTTGCGGCTACATAAATTCGGACATGCTGAAGCAGTTTCATACCCCGCAGATGTTCTGCAAGGTCCAGGTGCAGCTTGACAAACCGTTGATTTTGAGTCTGGGGCTGAAGCATTCCTGTATGTCGTATGTTCTTCCTGAGGTGGGATGGCTCCGGATGATCCAGATGGTCAGCCAAGGATCTGCATCGCCTTGCCGGAAGCCTTAGTCGAACTTGCTCTGAGGGGTGAGTGGCGTGATTTGGTGCTTTTGCGCCGTTGGCACACCTCAGCTCTTCAGAGACCGCTCTTTCCTGATTGGCCCCCTGTGCATTGGAAGCCAGATGCAGTGCCCGAGCCCCCTACAGTGATGTGCGACTTTGACCAACATGCCATAGGACAGCTCATCAATACGATTCATTCCTGGGCACCCTTTCTTGAGCGAGCAGTTGTGGCAGACCCCGACCCAGATGAGGATGTAGATATGGATTCAGAGCGCAACATTATTGCAGGCATGACTCGTGTTGTGACCGTGCTGACTTCTTGGCAAGATGCGCTAGCAGGTACCCCAGCAACATCGCTTGGCAAAGGAAGTCGTATGCACAGTGCTGCGAAGCTGCTCAAGTATTTGCGAGCATCTTGGTATGCTGGAAGCACCAACCGCCTCGATGTGGTGATGAAACATTCGATCCTTGCTGCGATGCCCATGCCTGTGGCAGCAGGTTTGCTAAAACACCTAGAGACCAAGGCACTGCACCCTTCGAAGTGGAGTTTGAAGCGATACCGTCTTGCTTTGGATTTGGCTTTCTTGTTGGTTTCACAAGAGGACATGGTGCCTTAGGTTAGCTATCTTTTCGTTGTGGGTGAGACTCTGAGAATCGCCGAACACACATGGCCCCAGGAGAACCAGGCTGCCAATGACCAGGGATGCGTGAGGTATCTGTGGGCTGACAGCTCTCCGGATCGTCGGCATGACTGGTTATGGAGTGAACAGCACTTTATCAGGGATTCAGATTCATTGTTGGGCTGCTTCCAGGCTTCTAAAGCAATATATCAGTGGCTGCACACCGCCTGCGAGGACCCGTGGAATGTGCCCGAGCAATGCATTCCAAGGTTCGAGCAGTTGTTGCGAGGCATCCGGCACCATATACATACCCCATCCGCTCTAGGTTCTGGGAAAAAGATGTCGGACCTAGCTCAGAAAGGGTCAGCAATTGCCCATTCCCTGGCTTTGGAGAACCCAACTTGGGCTCAGCTATTCTCTTTCTTGAGGTCCTTTGTGAGTCTTACAACGGACTTTGGCACTGAGAGTGCACTAACTCACTACAGGGTTTCCCTCGCGAACTTGTTTCCATCTTGGCGTGACTTGTGCCCGGTCGAAGTGGACGGCGAAGTTGAGGATGACGCTCTGCCCCAGGGCGAAGTTGTTCCAAATTTGGATGTGGATCGATATTTCCTCGAGCAGGCGTTGCCAGTGATGGGGATGCAGCACTGTGTGCATAATCTTCTGCATGAGGTGCATACAGCGTTGCCTTTCTGGCGAGAACTGTGGGATGACTTGAAGAACCTGGAGGGCTTATTGAACTGGAACTTTCGTCGTAGAAGGTACATTGCAACTTGCCTTCGTGGTACGCAATTTGAGGGTTTGGCGGATAGTTTTGAATCGTTCAATCAGTCGCTTTATGAAGCTCGGTGGCATGAAGTATCCAAGTTTCTTGTCAGTGTCGAACCACTGTTGCCTGTGCTTCGTTCAACTTGGGACGCCCAGCGCTTTCAGAATGTGGATGTGGTTGGTGGAGGGGCCGGAGGTGGGGACCATGGTGCTGTCAGAGCACCAGGAAATGCAGCCTCCTTCAACCCTGACAGGTTGACCCAACGCTTGCAATGCCCCAGGTTTGCTGCTCGAGTTGGGATGTTGTGCCAATTGGAAAGATTTCCCGAGAAGCTTTCCGGTTGGGCAGAGGACTGCCCGTGCCACTCAGGCGTGTGCGGAAACATGACCCGGTACACTCGCACCGCTCCTCAAGGGAAGCTTCGTGCTTCACGACGTCACTTTCTCCATAAAAAGTTTTTCCCCTTCTCTTTCTGTTTTAGTGCCCTTTTTGGGCGTTGCTAAAACACGAAGTTTGTCTTTGGAGAAGAATGAATTTTCATGTGACATGAACATGCAGTGCTGTCATCATGTTACATGAATCTTGTGAAATTTTGCCCCGTGCTGCCTTGACATCTCAAGTTCTGAAGGTGGGGCAAAATTCTTGCTTTTGGGCCCTGCTAGAGGCTTGTAACGGCGTCCTAGCAGGTCTTGGGCCCCCCTAAGTGCTGGCTTTAGGGCGTCACGACTCCCCGCTTTTCGTGCGGGGCGTCAGATGGACTTCGGTGAAGCGCTCGCTGACGGATCTTCTCATCGCTCCGAGGCCAGTTCCACTAGCACTCGCGAGCTTCACAGCCAGCACATTCACGATCTCCAATTGGAGGTCAACGCCCTGAGGCTTCAGGTTCAAGCCCTCAGGTCCGATTTGCAGACTCTGGAGGAGTCCCTTGCTCGCGTCTGGGTGAACCAGACGGGTCATCATCAACGCCTCTCGTGGCTTGAGGCAATCATCCAGGGCTTGCGCCGCGCCTGCAGAGTTTTTCTTGAACCGCGCGAGTAGTCTGCTTGAAACAGCTGAAGCTTCGTATGGTGCCTCGGCTGTCCACAGGTGCGACTCCCAAAGCCTCGCCTGCTGCAGCGGGCCCTGCGGCCGCCAACCTGACTGAGGCTGATCCTGATCACTCGGTTTCTGGTCAGGGGGAGGAGCCTAGTGATGATGCAGCCAGTGTAAATGCATGGGGCCTGTTGGCTCCCCTGAGCCCAACCACCCATGCTGCCGTGCCTGAGGAAAGCCAGGATCCCGCCTTATGGCTGTCGGAGCCTTTTAGTCCCTTTGCTTACGACCCTGTGCACGACCCCAACCTTGGTGACCCTGCCTCGGACTTGGGTTCTTATGATATGGTTCATAGTGGGGAACGGGAAAGGTCTCTTGACCCCGAAGACATTTGGTATGATTCAGTGCGAGATCATTCTTTAGACGCGGTCCTAGTCGAAGGTGACAGAGAGGAGGTCGCAACCAGTGTTGCGGAAGAGCCTCTTCTGCCTGCTGAGTCGCTATCCAGCAAGCGTGTCTTCGAGGATGCCAGGTGGGCCGAGGTTGCTCAGGAGGCAAAGTTCAGGCGTGTGTGTCAGGACTTGCCAAAGTTGCCTTGGGAGCAAGGTGCATGGTCCAGTATTTTTGGACCTGAGAGAAACATGATCGACGATGCCCTTAGGAGCAGTGTGCAAGCCTCTTATGGCTCCGAGGAAGCTGGTCAATTGCCACCTGAGAACCTGCCGTCAGCTTCGGCCTTTCTTGAGAAAACTTCGAGTGTAGTTAGGACTAGGCTAAGGCGGTTTCATCTTGAGCGACCGGCAGATGATCGACGGGAGCACGCCATAAAGCGACTGAGGGCCCTCATCATGTACGATCCCGACACTACCTTCTTGGGGATGGTAGTGGCAAAGGAGGCAGCGAACCTAGCTGACGATGAGGCTCTGTCATACTCCTTCACTTGTGCTTTTGCGAAGAGTGCTTCCGGCTCTCTCATAAAGCGAGCTGGGTCCCTTGACCGTTTTGGTAAGTGGATCCTTAGCTGCCGAGGGACCTCGCCCCTTAGGAGCTCCGAGGTTGACTTGTTTGCCTACTTCTCGCACCTGCAGGGCGAGGGGGCGGGAGCCACGTCATGCCAGCATTGTGTGGAGGCACTGCGATTCCTCCACGGTGTTGCGGTGTTTCAAGTGCTTGACCTTGAAGAAGTCTTTAGCGCCAGGGTGCTAGGGATTGTGAGGATTATGCACGTGACAAAGGCCCCGCTAGCTCAGCGTCCCCCTCTGACTGTAGAACACCTGTCCCTCTTGGAGCAATTTGTGACCATGAACAAGGATCACCGCGCATGTGTGGTAGGCCAACTGGTCTTCTGCGCACATGCTTGTGCCCGGTGGGCAGACAGTCAGCGCGTACAGAGCCTAACCATGGAGTGCGATGCTGAGAGCGGTGTGGTACTGATAGTAGCCGGGGCACTCGGCTCCAAAACAGCGATCTCCGCTGAAGCACGCACGCGGCTTCTGCCGTACGTCGCCCTGGGCAAAGGCGTAAGCAACGTGCCATGGGCAGAGGCGTGGATGGAGGCCAGAAAAGAAATGGGTCTGCAAGCTGGAGGGTCTTTTCTCCTTCCAACCTGGAGTGAGCGAAAATATGACTGGGGTGATTTTGAAATGGGGGCCGCGGAGGCCACGAACTACCTCAGGGAGGCGCTCATTTCCATGGGATGCGATCTTGATGAGGTTCAGGACTATGGCAGCCACAGCATGAAAACTACTGTCTTGACTTGGTGCGGCCGTAGCACGATCATTCCTTTCACGGAGCCTGAGCAGCGTGCGCTTGGCCATCATCTGGATCCGACAAGCAAATCTCCTTTGACTTACAGCAGAGAGTACTATTTGAAGCTCTATGCAAAGGTGCTGGCCGTCTTTTCGACCATCCAGCAAAACCGTTTCAAGCCGGATTTGCCTGGTGCTGCAAGTGTTGCTGCTATGGCGCAGTCCTTTGAAGAGGGCAACGAAAGGGGCTTGAGCCGACTTGAAATTCCGACGTCAAAGCTGAACAGCGAAAAGATGGATGAGGATGGGGAGTCGGACGACTCCGATCATGCCTCGATAGATTTGGACAGAGAGCTCGAAAGGGATGATGGCCCGACCGAACGTGAAGTTTTTCGAGGGGTCCCCTGGACCACATGCACTGTCCATTCTGTCTCCGGCATCACACATGTGAAGAGGGATCAGACCTCTCTCTTGTGCGGCAGAGTTATCAGCAGGAACTATAAACCTTTTCGGCAAGGTAGTCTGCTTGGGGAAAACCCCTCATGCTGCATACAATGCTTTAGGGTCCTTGAGGCCCAAGGGGGATCCGACGCCGAGGCGAACCGTGGCGGTTAAAAGAAAGTGCTGTTCTGATCTGAGACTGGTGTGTGCTGGCATGGCCTGTAGCTGAGTGCTGCGTAGGGTCGTTGTGCCAGCTGCCGTGAGTCCGATCGTCTGAGCAGTCATTGATGAAGTTTGCCGCCGTTCCAGTTTTTAGAACATTGATCATGAGAAACATGAACATGTGACGAAATACAAGTAGCGAGGAGTTTGGACATGTCATGTGGTAGCGTCAGCTCATGAACATTCTTGAAGAACCCTAGGTTGTGCAACATGACTTCCTCCGCCCTGGAAAGTACTGCCGAGTTTGCTGAGAGGTGCAAGCGGCTAGGACTGTCGGCAGCCAACTTGGAGGTGCTCCAGCATGCAGGCGTTGCAAGCTTTGGCCAGTTGTGCTTTAGCGTGAGTGCCTCCCCTCACACCATCACTGACCAGACATTCGAAGCATGGGTTCAGCGGCTTTGGGTGCCCTCGGTTCCTTCTGAGCAGCAGCAAACATGTCTGAAGAAGCTCCTTTTCGAAAGCCAGACCATGTCAATGGGCGAGATTCGTCAGAAGATGCAACCGGCCTCGGAGCAGGTTGCAAAGCCTCTGCCCCCGTCGGAGCGGTTAGCCAGGTCGCAACGGCAGCAGGCTAGGATCACTGGTTTGGTGTACACTCCTGAGACTACTCCCTCGCACTACCTAGTTGACTTGTTTAACGATCAACTTGAGACGGGAGTCATTGCATGGGTCGCGCCTGAAAAGTGCGCTTCCAGGGCAGATGAAATGCAGAGCAATAAGAAGGACAAAGCCTTGCAGCTCATGCCGGATGGACAGATCAAGGTTAACTCCAAGGCTGCAGAGGTCAGGTGTGAGGCCAGCACTGACTCCAAGCTTCGTGCAGCTTGGCAGAGACGGTCCCTTGCAATGGACATGGCTGGGATTGCAACTTTCATCGTGGTTGAAAAGTGGGTACATCATCTCTTTTCAGTGTTTGCCCGCGACGTGCCGGAAGGTTATGCACCCATCCAGTTGAGGCAGATGGTAAATGCCGACAAGCGCTTGTTCATGTTGGCCGCCGAGGGCCTGCCTGCTGATCTCAGGGCCAGCCGGCCCGGAGACAGGACACCTCTGGATGATCAAATTATCATGCTGATGTTCTCTCCCGAGATCTCTCAGTACCTTGTGCCAATGCCCAAGCCTCATGTTCCGCCCCCACCTCCGGGGGGTAAGGCCTTAGCTGAATCGCTGAAGCGGGCCCTCAGTGAGGACTTGCCCTTTGATAAAAACTTCTTGAGTCGGGCTTGGAAGAAGGGCAAAGGCGGCAAGGGCGGAAAGGGTGGAGACAAGCAGGAGGATCCGGCAAAGCGATTCAACCTTCCCGAAGGTTGTTGTGATCGCAATGACAAGAACCAGCCTCTGTGTTTCTTGTGGAATCAGGGGAAGTGCAAATGGAAGGGCAAAGGAAAGCGCTGCAACAGGGGCTTCCACCAGTGCTATTTCAAAGGCTGTTATCGCGACAAACCTTTCATTGAATGCGACCATAAGGATTGACAGTCGGTGGCGCTGCAGGCCAACGAGTGGGCCCCTGAGACCAATTCTGGTCTTCACCCGGCTGAGTCCTTGGCTCGCAGCGCAGTGCAACAGGGTAATCTTCAGAAATCAGTCATTTTGTCAGTTTTCGAGCTTTTGCCTGAAGGGAATAATCCTAGAGGGTCCGATCAAGCTTCCAAAGCCTTCGTGACTGGTGCTTTCATTCATGGAACCATGTGTTCAGTGGTCAACAATCTCACACGTTTTCCATGGACTTCTGAGCTCTTGGCATCGTATGCAAGGCAACAGGCGCCGACGGCAAAATTTTCTTCATTGGTCATTTTTCGCAACAATCAGGCGGCTCCGCATCGCGACTCGCATAATTGCCCGCATAGTACCAATCAGGTTTTTGCAATTACGAATTTTTCAGGCGGAAGGGTCATCGTGGAAGACCCTGAGGGGGAACATAGAATCACTCATGAAGGCCGCGATTTTCGTGGCCGTGCCATAGACTTTCGGAATGGAATGCTGAGATTCGCTGCGCGGGAGGTCGTGCATTGGACCGAGCCCTGGCTCGGCACCAGGGTGGTCCTTGTGTCATACACGGTGAGGGGCCTCAAGGGCATGCCTGACACTTGCCGTGATTCGCTTTTGCAGGCCAGATTTGCCTTGCCAGGCTATAAAGCCGAGCCCCTTAGGTGCCCGCCTGTGGATGTTCCCACTCCCCTAGATCCTAAGCCTGATGCCGAGGCCAACCCGGTTCCTTTGGGGTCTAGTCCTGATCCTGCATCGCTTGAGGGTCCTTTGCCTGTAGGGTTTAGTCCTGCCCCTGTCCCGCAAGTGCCCAAGGAGAGTCCGTCTTCCGCTTCGGTCGGCGAAACCCCGTTCGCCCTCGAACTCTTTTCGGGGCGGGGACGGCTGTCGCAATGCTTGCGCCGGGCCGGATTTACCGTCTTGTCCATGGACCACAGGCTAGCTCACAGCCTCGTGCCAGTTTGCAAAACTGATCTTGCCACCGAGGCAGGTCAAGCTTTCGTGTGGTCGCTCCTCGAATCCTGCTGCCCTGCCTTTGTCCATATGGGCTTGCCTTCTGACACAGCCTCTTCTCGCTCCTCCTCAGGAGCCTTGCGTACCTCGCAATATCCTTTGGGATGCCCGGATTTAACCTCAGGCAGTCTTGAGGCCACACGCGTGGATGAGGCCAACCGAATGTACCGCTTCTCTTTTGAGGTTGCTTGCTTTTGCCTGGCCAGGGGTATTCCCCTTTGCATAGAAAACCCGCCGAGTTCCAGACTGTGGCAAATCTTTTCTTGTTTCGCGCAGGGCTTGAAGGACACGGAGGTGTTAGCTAAGTGGCAGGCATTGCCGTCAATCGACCTGCATTGTTGCATGTTTGGCGGCTCCCGTGCTAAGCCATTGCGGCTTAAATGTACACCTGGCCTGTTCGACTCCCTTGCGGTGTCATGCGACAAGCAACATGAGCACAAGCCCTGGTCCCTCAGCCGCACTCGTGTGGAGATTGCCGAGGATGCATCTTACCCTCTGGATTTGTGTCGTCGTATGGTTTCATCCTTGCTGTCTTTCATGGGCCAGGCTGGACAGGCCTTGCCGTCTGCCATCCGCTTGCATGACCAATCCTTGGCTGCAGCTGGGGTCCAACCGCGCCGGCATAAACCTCTAATCCCCGAGTACAAGACAGTCGTGCAGGTCCCAGCGGACTCTCCAATCCCGCCTGGTGCCAAGGTGCTTTCTCCCAGCCAACTTCAGGGGGTGGATGTGGCTGCTCCTGTGGCTACTCCGATGTCTACACCCTCCTCTGGTTCGACCACTCCGACTGTTGGTGCCGTGACCTTGGGCCTTTGGCACTCTCCGAGCGAATTCTTTCACAAGGCTGCATCTCTAGCTCACCCCATGGATACCACCAAGCCGGTGGCCATGGTGACGAAGGCAGCAATCGATTCCTCCTTACATGGGGACCCGGACGCACTATCCGAGCAAAGGAGATCCTTCCTTTGCTACTTGGAGGAGAAGATTCGCCGCCTTCAGCCCCGTGAGGACGCCTTACACAAAGGCATGCCAAAATATATGCAGGAAGTTCTTGAGGGCAAAAACTTGCTAGCCTGGGAGGAGCTCTTGAAAGAGACGGGCTATACTGACCTTGATTGCGTGCGCTTCATGAAGGAGGGAGTGAGGCTTGTAGGGTGTGAGGAACATCCAAAGGACTTTGCAAAGAAGGTATCCCCCGCCTCCTTATCGGAAGAAGAGCTTAGAGCTACGGCTCGGCACCGAAGGTCTAGCTTGTTGGGTTTAGGGCGAAGTTTCCCCTCTGAGGAGGATGCTTCCCTGCTGTCCCAAGCCACTGCCGAGGAGGTCGATGCTGGCTTCCTTGAGCGAGGTATGACTGCCGATGAGGTTAGTGCCTTCTTCGGTCACGAAGATTGGGGTGTGGTACGAAGGTTTGTGCTGGTCCAGGATGGAGGTCGCAAGGTCCGTCCCATAGACGACTGCTTGGAGGCGCAAATCAATGCTGCTTACACCTCAACAATTGCCTTGCAACTTCACGATTCAGATTATGTAGCTTCACTGGCCCTCTTCATCGCTGAACGAATGCAAGGCCTTCCAGCCAGCAAGCGCATGCCGTGGCATGGGAAGTGCCTAGACCTTTCGAAAGCCTACAAACAAATGGCAGTCCATCCACGAGACCGCGACTTGTGTGTCATCATGATCCAGGATCATGATGGAGTTGCAACTTACCACATTTGCAATGCGTTGATGTTCGGGGCTTCTGCATCAGTGTTTGCATTTGTGCGGGTGAGTCGCTCGTTGTGGTGGATAATAAATAAGTGCTTGAAAGTACCCTGTGCCTGCTACTTCGATGACTATCCATTATTTAGCCCAGAGTCATCAGCTGCTCCCGTGGACCAAGATGTATCCCGGCTATTGGACCTGCTGGGGTGGAGGCATGCAAAGTCCGGGTCAAAAGGCAAGCCCTTTGATAGTTCCTTCGACGTCCTTGGGACTAGGCTAGACTTGGGTGAGATCTTGTCAGGGAAGATAGTTCTTGCAAATAAGGTTGGCAGGGCGGAGAAAATTCTTGAAAAGGTTTCGACTGCATCCCTAGGGAATGGGAGCTTCAGGCAATCTTTGCAGGTCCTTATTGGACACCTGAACTTCGCCTCCGGCTTCTTTGCCGGAAGGGCCCTGCGACATGTGGCCTACGACTTGAATCATCTGATGGGCAAGGATTGGCTTTCAGCTAAGGACTCCTTGGATGAGTTGGGCAGCCGCATCTCCGTCATCCTTCAGGGCACCCCTCCCCGGTCCTTAGTGTGCAACCGAGTGCGCCAACCGATCCTGGTGTGGACCGATGGCTCTTGGGAAAAGGGACATGCGGGTATAGGTGCCGTTGAATGGGATCCCATTACCTCGAAGGGTGCGGTTTGGGCGGGCCACGTCCCAACTAGCATCACTGCTTTGTGGTTGAGAACTGAAGATCACACTCAGGAGCAGATAATATCGCAGGTCGAGTTGTATGCAATGGCACTCATCAGACATCTACGGAAAGAAGCATGGATGCACCGAAGGGTCATCGTCTTCTGTGATAACGAGGCGGCACGCTTCGCAGCCATAAAGGGTGGCAGCAGCAGCCACAGCATGAATCGGCTGGTGCAGGCATGGGATCACCCAAATTTTGATCACCCAGCTTACTTGTGGATCGAGCGTGTGCCCTCTTTCTCGAATATTGCTGATGGTCCCTCAAGGGGCGTGCCCGAAGAGGCCTTACGCCTTACACGTACCAGCTCTTGCAGAACTTTTGAGACAGAGGCCGAGCTCGAAACTCTCTTGTTCAGCAGGCGCAGAAAGGAGATGGGGTGAGGGTGCGCCCAAGACTGTTGATGCTGGGAAATACCCGTTTGGGCATCGGTCTGTTGTGGGCTTCGACTTTCACCGCGATTCTCCCCCGCCTTTCAGTAAAAAGATGAGGAACGTGCGAGTGCTGTGAGCTGCTGTGCGTGATAACATTCTGAAGGCTATATGCCGGAATATATTGAGATTGACTTTTTATATATATTGGATTTGGCAAATTTTTGCCTTACGGTCGTTTAGCATATGACCATTGCTTGATATGCTTTGATCCGAGGGAAACAATCTTTTTAGGAGAAGGAAGCTTCGTGCTTCACGACGTCACTTTCTCCATAAAAAGTTTTTCCCCTTCTCTTTCTGTTTTAGTGCCCTTTTTGGGCGTTGCTAAAACACGAAGTTTGTCTTTGGAGAAGAATGAATTTTCATGTGACATGAACATGCAGTGCTGTCATCATGTTACATGAATCTTGTGAAATTTTGCCCCGTGCTGCCTTGACATCTCAAGTTCTGAAGGTGGGGCAAAATTCTTGCTTTTCCCGCCCGCCCGACCCAAAGTGGGGGTGAGGGTGCGCCCAAGACTGTTGATGCTGGGAAATACCCGTTTGGGCATCGGTCTGTTGTGGGCTTCGACTTTCACCGCGATTCTCCCCCGCCTTCCAGTAAAAAGATGAGGAACGTGCGAGTGCTGTGAGCTGCTGTGCGTGATAACATTCTGAAGGCTATATGCCGGAATATATTGAGATTGACTTTTTATATATATTGGATTTGGCAAATTTTTGCCTTACGGTCGTTTAGCATATGACCATTGCTTGATATGCTTTGATCCGAGGGAAACAATCTTTTTAGGAGAAGAACATTTCTCGGGAGTGCCCGTCTGCCCCATGGCAGGAAAACGAGCTCCCGAAGTGGCAGCTGGATGCATCCCAGCCGTGTTTGACGCCATTGCAGGGCAGGCATTGACTGAAGTCCTGCTTGCCTCGCCGCTGCCGCTTTCTGCAGAGCAGCAAGCCGTGCTTGTTTCCGAATTCCACGGCGCTCGTGATCACATGAGGCTTGTCCTGCTGTCCAAGCTCGCCCATTGGCAGAGACTGCCGTGGCTTCTGTGCGGTTTAGCTCACCCCGACGAGGATGTGGGGCGGCGAATCGCGCAAGACATCAAGGACATGCTGCAGCAATCACCTAACCATGTTTTGCATCACCGGCTGACGAAGAAATTCCTTTCGGATCCTTTGCGTGCAGAGCTGTGTCGGTTTGCTGAAGGGGAACGTTTTATCAACTTGAGTCGTGATTTTCAATTGGCCGTGGCACCTCTTCATTTCATCCCAGTGGTCGAAAGCATCATTGAGTCCAAGCATGCTGTAACTACCAGACTACACAAGCGAAGCACCCATGCCGGCCCAGTGCAGGTCAGTCTTTACAACCGCATGGTCATTTTGGAACGAAGATTTGAAAGAGAGGCATCATGTGACCCTGTGAACAATTTCTTTGACAGGATGAGTCAGGCTTTGGCACTGTCAAGGCGTTTGGGAACAATGCCTGCCAAGCTGGGTTTGCAGCGCCACCCGCTGCTTGTTGAGTTGGAGAACAGGCGTGGCCGTCAAGACGTCAGTGCTTACTTGCAAAAGCCTCTCACAGCCGTACAGACATGGATAGCCAGTTCATGTCCTTAGCAGAGGCCAGGAAACAACACTCCCAGTATCACAAGCGAAATCAGGAAGAGATGAAATCTGCTATGGCAGATGCCAGTGCACAGGGCCGGCAAGAGCCTTTGTCGGATGTCGTGAGGCAAGGCCTCATCTTGGACCATTTCCGTTTTCTCGGAGAGGTGAAGCCTTCAGCCAGCGATGCGACTGTCTTGTTTTCCGCGCCTGCCAGCTCGAGCTTTGCGTTGCAAGGTTTGTCGGATTTCTTCAGCAGGCCTGAGCAGAGAGCGATGAAGCCTCATTTGGGCCAAGCTTTGGAGTGTGACCATGAAGGAGATGGTGATGATTCCATGCCATACTTTTTCACATTAACCAAAGCTAGGCCAAGCAACAACAAACGTATGTATGTTCACCCTGGGGCCGGCCAGTCGCTGAAACCTGATCATGTCGCAGTTGCTTTGCATCCGGCTTCTCGTGGTGAGTCGGGTCAGTTTATCGTTTCAGCCCAACGAGGCGGCAAACAACAAGGACGTGACAATCTGGCTATTGTGACCTCTTTAGGCAGCTGTGCGACTGAGATTGAGTCCGACCTGAAAATGTGGTCTGTGGCCCCGCAGCTCAGGTATTCGTTTGAGGGGGGGACAGAGGCTATGTGCAAGGTTGTCACGAAGATGGTTGTCGAAGGGTACCGTGTTGACAAGGATGGTTTTCATGTGCCAGGCTTCGATGTCCAGTCTGAGGCCGATTCGTTGTGCAAACAAGGGCTGATGGCCTCCGATTCGCTTGGGGGCTATGCACTAACTGCGCAAGGCATGAAACAGCTTCAAGTCCAGTGGTGCCCTGTGGAGCCCCGCAGTGTGTGTGTGTGCGATTCGTGATGGTCTGGATCTCATGCAGATGACTGCTTATGAGCTGTTGCTAAAGTTAGAAGATGTCGGTTTTCAGTGGAGACAATGGCCATCCAAGCAGCAAGAGAGGCGAGAGATTGCGCCTTACAAACCTGGGGAAAGCATGTTCTGGTATTCCACGCATGCTGTGCCTCCAAAGTCTTACTTCTTGGCTTTGCTCCGAGCAGAGGCCAGTGACCAGGGTTGCCACAGCCAGGTGAGTTAAGTTGGCCCGCACGATGTTGTCCGTTGTGCAGCGTGCTTTCAAGAGTCTTGCAGGAGATCGTGGCAGTGGGAGTCCACCAGCATATTCCACATGGGCAGGACAGCAAGTAGTTTGCCAGTCTTTGAGTCAAGAACCCGGCAACATTTCCTGCCCGTGGGCAGGACAGCAAGATTTATGAAGCAATCTTGGCGGGGCAGCCAGCTGTTTACTCGCTGATCAAGCGGCGTCAGAAGATGACCAAGCAGCTGGAGGCAGGGGATTGCGGCTTTGAGTGTCGACAAAATTCCTAAGACAATCGTGATGCTCTCTGTTACAGGTCGACGGAGAGATGTTGGTTGGCACTGCCCCGAAGCGGCGTCGAGGCCGTGCTTGCAGTGCTGCTGTTTTGGTTGATGCTTCCTGTGGCGACCAGGAAATGCGTCAAAACCAGCTGATCGTGATGCTCTGCGACCGGAAGGCAGGGTTTGGATGAGTCCACATTTGCATGTGTATATGTGTGGGACTGTGTGCGTCTGCGTGTGTCTGTGTACTTGCGAACCTGCGCATGTCGAGGCCATCCGGTGCCTTTGGGCGATGCAGACCCTCCTGCTCTTGACGATGACCATGCTGTGCAGTCAACGGACGATGCTGAAGAGGCAGGCTCTGCTGCTTCAAATCAGGCTGAGAGTTTGGATGAGGGGGGAATTGGCGATATCCTGGAAGAGTTGTCAGCACAGATGGCAGCGGGTGGGGCTAGTGACGATCCTGAGCTTGCTCGCGAAGAGCCAGCGTTCATCCCGCCGCCGCCGCCTCCTCACGATCCAGAAGACGAAGTTGCTGGTGCTAGGGACTTGTTGTCTTCGAGTCGCTTCGGTTCGTTCACTATAGTTCCAAAGCAGCCTCAGTCCAAAGGCGGAGGTACTTATGGAGGTTACCAAGGATCCTGCAGATTCCACAAGAAAAACACTCTGACGGGCTGCAAAAGATTCATATCCATAAAAGGTCCTACAGACGATGACCGCCAAGCTGCGTTCAATCAGATCCTGTATTGGTGCACACAAGCACGTGACTTCAATCGCCAGAGGTTGCACATCCGGGCATCGGTGCTACCCACACCTCCGCGTGATCTGCTGCTGGCAAGGAGGATAGATGAGGTGCCCACAGATGTTCAGGACGACGATGAGCTGGACCGAGCAGATGCTGCTGCAGCTAGACCCGCTGCGAAACGGAAAGCGAAGCCGAAGGCATCCACAGCCAAACCCAAGGCCCGTAGCAAAGCCAAAGCAGCGGCGGCTCCTTCTGCTCCCAGTGATGAAGCAGCTTCAGACCCGCCCAGCAGCGATAGCAGTGATGACAGTGACAAGTCTGATCAGTCTGCGTCGACTAGTGATAGCAGTAGCTCTTCCACGTCGTCGTCCTGACCAAAACCGTGCATCATGTGCCCAAAAGCGTGAAGAAATGACCGTGTTGCATTGCATCCGTCAGGTGTGCGTAGGTCTGACTTTTGCGAGGCACAGGCTTGCAGAAAGTGTCCCAGAACAGGCCAACTCTGGGTAAAACAATTCCAGTTAATTCGAAAGCAGCTACAAATATTCGTGGTAATAACAAAGCTATTTCTCGCACGGTTGAGCAATTTTCCTGGGATCCACCGAGCTCCTCCGCACTCCCCCGCACTCCCCCGCACTCCCACCCCGCACTCCCCCGCACTCCCCTGCACTCCCCCGCACTCCCCCGCACTGTCACCCGCACTCCCCCGCACTCCCCCGCACTCCCCCGCACTCCCCCGCACTCCCCCGCACCTTCCCACAATCCCGAATATTAGTGTACTTCCCTGTGCGTGGGCCTTTGCTGTCTAGAATTCCCAAAGTATTAATTTGAATATTCCTACATGCCGTGTTGTGCTGTCATGCCGAGAACAGCTAGGGAGCAGCTTGTTGCCAGCCTTGTTTGATTGGTTCCTACGTGTACGGCCTTGTTCAAGTCCAAGCAGGGCAGTTTTGACAGTTTTGGCACTAGTTTTGGCAGTCTTGGGGCAGACAGCAGCAGTCAGATGGAATTGATGTCGGGCAATGCATATAGAGTCTCACATAGCGTGTCGTGCAACAGCATGGAGCCTGACTGTGAGTTTTCAGTGGATCCTTCTTCTGGCAACAAGAGGAAGGCTCCCAGGATGTCGAGCCACAGCAGACCTGGCCCGAGCACGTTTGATCAGATTGCTGACTGGCCAGGACAGCTGCGTGACGACCTGACCCGTGGAATGCCTGAGAGTTTCTTGGGTGCCCTGACTAGCAAGTTTGACAAGATGATTGTGTTGACGACCCATTACTCCGGCATGGGCTGCGCTGAGCTTGCACTGCTCATGTTGGAGGCAGAGTTTCGGCGTCGTCCGGAAGGTCACGAGACGGAGAGTAATGTCATCCTATACTCGGCTTGTGAGCAAGATGCAACAACCCGTCAGATGCTGCTTGGGCCAGGACATCGTGACAGCCGTCTCGAGCCCCAGCATGTCTTTGGTGACATCATCTCTAGAGTGCCCGTGGACATCCTAGGCCACCTAAAAGAAGTAGAGCTTCAACACCTAGAGCAGGCGGCAGGGATCGCTGCAAACCCCAGCCTTTCGAGGGAGGAGAAAGAAGAACACAAGAATGACCTGGGAGAAAGGTTATTGAACAGCTTCTTGTCTGTGCTTTCGCGATGCAAGTTTGTGGCAAAGGATTGGTGCTACAAGCACAATGCAATGTGCCCTTTGCTGCCCGCTAAGAATGGAGCTCATATTGAACAATTGAACATGGAGAAGTTACTGGCAGCACATGTGTTGCCTGGTCTAAGTTGCGGTCCACCCAGAGCAGTGCTCAAACCAAGTGGCTCCACAAGAGCACTTTGCCCTGCCTAGTCTGGATGTTCTGGGCAATGCAGGCTTCTCCTGATTGGTTCATTCATGAGTGTGTGCAATCTTTCGATGCACAGATGCTGGTGCAAACGGTGTCCCAGTATCTGACGGCTTCGTTTGTGTTCTCTCCTACCTTGTTTGGTCTGCCATCCAACAGGACCCGGCGCTTCACGTTCGGCATCAATGCAGCTCGCTGCTCATGGCAGCAAGATTTGCTAGACGAAGGCTTTGCCGATGATCCGTCCACCATGACGACAGGGGCTGCTCAAACATTGTTTTCCACTGTGTTTGGCAGGGATATCGTAGTTGGTTGCGAAGTGTACTTGGTGGCTTCGGACAAGGCGGTTGCAACGTGGGCACGTGGTGCTGTGTCAGACAAGGGGCTTGGTCATCTATGCGACTCAGACGTGGACATGAAGTTGTGCCTGTCAGGTGCTCAATTCCAACGCATGGTTGCTTACAAGGACTTGCTGCGTGAGAAGAAGGTGGAGTGTGGCAGTTTCACGTCCTTTGTTGTCAATCTGGAGCAGACAGCTGGATTCCAACCATGTGTGTCGCATATTGTCCCGGCCCTCTTGACGCAGTCCACTCTTTGTGTGCTGCGTGCCCAGTCTCCGGCAGGGGCTACAGGCAGCACCGTGCCATCCGCAAGAATGCGTTTGGTCTTACCGATCGAGCACTTTGCAATTTTGAGTTTCCCCATGCCTGAGGCCTTTCGAGGAGCTGTGCGATCGAGTGTCCCAGAGTCTGCGGCCAGGAAGTGGACGGACGCTTTCCCGTGGGATGTTGCTTGGCTCCGGAGAGAGATGGGTGACAAAGTGATGCGACGGCTTACTGGCAATGGCATGAACCTGCATGCTCTAGGATCAGTGATGGCCATTCTCCTTGCGGGTTGCCAGCCTTCAAGTCGTGAGTCAACAACCAGCAGCTCAGGGTCAGGGTCAGAGTAGGTCAGGTCCTGGTCAGGGTCAGAGCCGCGATCTTGGATCCATACAAGTCGACAGTGGAAAAGCGGGGTTGCTCCTGGGTGCTGCTTTGTGTGAGCCAGTGCAATGCTGCCGGTTGTGTGCTTGAGTGAAGGCCTCCGAATTTTGTGCATGTCCCAGTGCTTTTACTAGAAGGTCTTAGTATTGTTGTTCCTAGTTCTGCCGTTGTTGCGATTGATCATGGATGCAGACAGTGAGCTGTTTGAGAACTTGCTCGACAAGGTCTTGGGAAGCCCCGTCGAGAAGGCTTCTCCAGAGGCCAAGAAGCGTGGCAGGCCGAAGGGTTCGAAGAGCAAGGGGGCGGAGGAGGATGCTGATGAAGCAGGCGTTCCCAACAAGCGGCGCAGGAGCTCAGGATCCGGAGCCGGAGCCCCCGGCGGGACTGGCGGGACCCCACCGAAGTCAAAGGTGCAATGTATGTGTTGCGGTAAAGTGTTCGACCGTAGCTTGATGGCTAACTTGCGCTACTGTGTCGACGGGAAAAAAATAACGGACAGGCTCTACCATGCTGCCAAAGCCCAGGACGCGGTGGAATGGCTGTCAGATCAGCTGTCAACCTTGGAGGGATCGATGCGAATAGTCAGTGCCTTCAAAGCACGCTTCCCGCAGTGGAAGACCCAAAGAACTGACAGCAAGAGATTCGTGACACAGTACATTGAGATGGTTACTGCTGAGACTGCCGTTCTTTGGGACGGCGATGGGATAATGATGTCGGAAGACAGATATGTTCTCGAAATGTCGAAACCGGAGCACGGCGGGTTCTCCGGGAAGGCTGCTCGGGAAAAGTTTGCCAATCTGATGAGCGATCCCACGAGCATCCGAGACAAGAAGGGTGGTGTTGATCGTGTCCGGGTAGACCTCGACGATCACGTGCGGTTCCAGAATAAGTTTAGCAGGTTGAAACAAGTCATACAGAGCCAGCAAGGCAAGAAGAATATGAGCGAGGAGGAGGTGCAGGCTCTGCAGGCGAAGGTCTTCAGTGGCCACGACCAAGGCTTCGCGAATCAGGATGTGGACATGATGTCAATGGCCAAACGGATGGCTCTTGGTGCAGGCCGAGGTGCTACCGCCTTTGACGCAGAGATGATGCAGCTGGGGCAGCTCAAAGACCTCCTTCCGCAGGAGTCCACTCCCGACAAGAAGAAGCCAAAAGGCCGTGGCGACGGCAGCGACTCAGAGGCTGGCGACATTGGTTACATTTCATGATATGGTGAGCTGAGTGCAGGCATGCTGTTTGTCAAGTTCGTTATCGTTGACCGTCCCAGTTAGATCTGTTTCTTGGGGTGGTCCTAAAACCAAAACCGTGGTTGCTGATCCTTCTTTTGGGTGGTCCCAAAACCAAAACCGTCCTTGCTGATCCATTTCCTAGGTGGTCCTAAAACCAAAACCGTGGTTGCTGATCCTTCTTTTGGGTGGTCCTGAAACCAAAACCGTGCTTGCTGATCCCTTTCCTGGGTGGTCCTAAAACCAAAACCGTGGTTGCTGATCCTTCTGGATGGTCCTAAAACCAAAACCCCCCCTGCTTGTTGCATTGATCACTGCATTGCTGAAGCTGGCCATGCCATGTTGGTTCGTGTGGGTGTACAGGCGGCAGAAGACGTGGAACAGGATGACGATGACGAGGACGGCAAAAAGTCGGAGAAGAAGGAGAAGTGGGTTGACATGGACAGAACCATTGCCAAGAGCGTGCGCTCGTGGACCTCCTGGGTTCGTGAGTCGCAGGCCAAGTGCGAAGCTGCTTGGCGGGCTCTCCGTGATTTGCAGTCTCAGGACAAAACGAGAGCAGTTGCGGATAAGGTGCGGCACGACTTGACAATTGCGGCTGCCAGGTGCAAAGCGATCGCCATTGTCTTGGGCTACGACAAAGCCGATGAGAGCGAGGAGCCCAAGCAGCTGCCACACGATGAAGCAGAGTTGCAGCTCAAGGGATTCATTGAGGAATGCAAGGCCAACACCCGCAACACTGCTGCCGCCAAGGACGGCGACAACAATGCATCAGCGTCTGTCTTGTCAGCTGCCGGTGACAGGGCAAAGCTGGGGCAAGGGCCTCCGTGCAAAAACTTTGCTGATCTCAAAACCTTCGCCTCCCTTGCCAAGATCGAGGAGGACTTCTTGATGTGTGGAAGCCGTGATGACATTTCGGACCTGTTCGACAAAACGAAGCCATTGAAGCGGGCTGCCATCGAGATCATCGCTCTCGCCAATGCCATCACCAAGGACTTGAAGGGTGCAGTGGCCGCAGCACACAAGCGGCTGCAGCAGAAGGGTGACTTGGAAACGAAGGCCCGCAAGGCAGCAGTGGCTGGTTCGCAAGAGCCCAACAAAGTCTCCATCTTCGAAACCGTCCCCAATCTGGTCAGCAGCGGCAATGCCAAGATTCAGCAGATCATCATCGCGAAGGCCGAGGAAAAGAATGACTACACGAAACCTTTCATGGTCAACATCTCGCCTGACGCGGATCCATGGAAAGACCTGGTTTCCGTTACTCAGAAGCTCATCGGCGACTTCAGGCTGGAGTTTGAAAACTCTCCTGTGAGAGCAACAGCTGGTCGTGGCCAAAAGCCTTTGGAGAAGCTTGGGCCCGACCCCAACCTCGAGGCAAAGCTCAACGAGTGCTGCTTCTCGCCGCATGTGCTCATGGCAGATCGTGCCGCTTGCGACACGGATGAGAAGAAGGACCTGGTTGGTGGGATGGCGGTGTTCGGCATCTGCAAGAACTTGGTGACCTGCGTTCCTGAGAGGGGCTACATGGCCACGGGGGCAATGATTATTGCTGGATCCGCAAGTGTCATTCTTTTGCCGCTGCTGCAGGTGATGCAATTCTTTGCGTCTCACGAAGGCATGCCGAACATGCTCCTCAAGGATGTGCTGCTGGCGTTGAAGTTCATCAATCCTGATTCTGTTCAGAAGCTGTTGGCATCTCTCCCAGATGAAGGCAGGATTTATCACGGTACATGTGGCCCGAGTGACATGCTGTACATTCCCCCCACTTGGATTGCAATGCAGTCCACGGGGAATGCAGACGTGGTCGGCTTGAAGGCACGTTTCTTGCTGCCATCCTTGAAGGATGACATGTCCGATCTAGCAGCGAAGCTCCAGGAGCATGGCTCAGGCAATGATCTGTTGAGCAAATCCGTAGCGACCTTGTGATATGCGGTGTTGGCAAGTTTGAACAGAAGCTTTGCAATATACTAGCATAGCAGTCTAGCATCGAGCACTCGAACAGTTTAGGATTTTCAGCGATGCTTGTGATCTACATCCTCACCTTAGTCGTTGGTGGGGCGAAAGTTATTGGGAGAACTTTCCGGATCTCAGGCTCGCAGGATTGGCAATGCTAGCAGCTTAGCATCGAGCACTCTAAATTTACGGGCGCTGCTTGTGATCCACGTCCTCACCTTAGTTGTCACGGTGGGGCGAAAGTCGCCGGGAGAGCTTTGCGGATCACAGGCTCACAGATGAAACATCGAATGCTGCTTGCAGTTCTCCGCATTTTTGAATAGCATGCAATACTGAATGGCCCACCTATCATTGGGGCAATACATTGTGGCTGAGTTGCTTTATATATCTTTGGAATAAAGTCTTTTCGCCCAAAAATTATGATATTTGGGCAATACATGTTCGAGGCGAGGCCTTATGGCCAACTTGAGTTTTTTGACTCCAGTGACCTGGGATCGACTTCAATCCTTCTGTGCATCACCTTCTCTCTTCAAACTCCAACGAACTTTGTAACCTCACCGGAAAACCCTACTCCTCCACCTTAAAGTCTCAGACCCTGAAACACCAAAGCCCTGAAACCTGATAAGCCTTAACAGCCCTAAGAGTTTTGGCTCGAAACGCAGGCTGCAGATTTGATGCTCATGATGCCAGACTGTTCCGAACCTGCTGCATCGCAGCGGGCCTTGCCCAGAAAAAAATCCTTAACCCTACAGCTTTTGGCTCAAACCGTTGCAACTCGGGCTTGATGCTCATAACATGGTTTTTCTGACAGTTCGATATTGATGCTCATGAATGTTGTCTCACCCCATGAACTTCCCTGCTGTGTGACTGCTGGGGTACATGTTGCCGCTACGGTGTGTGCTGTCGCCCGTGGGTGTGCTCCTCTGGTTTGTGTCTTCGTGTGCTCTGCTCCAGTGAGGAACAACTCTTTCCGGCTTGCGCTTTTGACGCAGCTTTGTTACCGATATTGTCGGATACAGTGGCGCAGGGGTGTACCCTTCTGGTTTTGTCTGTGCTTCCCACTGCTTGGGTGCCACCCAAACCACCCAATGGGTGGTTTGGGTGCGTGCCAACAGTTTTTCTGTGCTTCTGATGCAGGTTTGTTGCCGACACTGGCAGACACAGCGTGGCCCATGGGTGAGCCTTTCGGATTGCCTATTTGCGGTGTGACGCAGCCATAATGTTTGCGCTCGTGGTGGTTTTGGCTATGGAAATTGCTGCCATCTGAGATCCTCTTGTGGATGATGTTATCGGTATATATCAATATTATCCTTACCGAATCCACCTCCCCACGTCCATCCCTGACTTTTGCCACCGGAGGATGGCGGAGGTCGAGGCGGGCCTTGCGGAGATGAAGGAGCTCCTGAAGGAAGTCGCGGGAAAGGCGAGGTCCTCTGTGTTGCAGGCCCGTCCGAAGGTCAAAGCCGTTACCCCAGCCGTCCCAGGTGCTGGGTTGGAAGACCTCGACAAGGGCACGGTGGCAGCAGCAAGGGCAGCAGGCATCAAAAAAGGAGCTCTTCAGGAAATGGCCAGGCTCATGAAGTCCAAGAAGACCCGTGTGGAGGAGGCAGCCATTGCACTGGACGAAGAGAACCCCGACTTGGATTTGCTGGACACTGCCGGGGTACTCGCCCCCGGGGGCCTCAGCACAGCAGGCGGATCTCTCCCCACTGGTGGGAGCACTCCTTTGGAAGTGGCCATCGTGCAACTTACGAAGATCGTTGGGAACCTGGCTTCAGGGAAGAAGC